ACCAGTACTAACTGGTGATGTGGCAATAAAACGTTCTACATCCTCCATTTCAACATCAAAAAAGTTTGGAGAAGTTGGAAGATCTAACGACTTAGGTTTAGTAGGAAATTTACTAGCTTCCATTATAAAATCAACATTTTCTATTTCCACAAAACTCTTGCTTTTATCAGTATCATCTTTATCGTATAATGAACTAAGAGGAATTGGTAATGTTTCGTCATGGAAAAAATCCCAAGCTAATTTTTTTCTTACTAATGGAAGAGTATTATTGACTTGTTTGATCATCATTTGTGTTTGATGATAAATTGAAAGTACTTCAAAAAAATCGTCAACAGGATTAATTGGTGATCCATCAATTTTAACAATTGAATTTCGTCCATGAGGTACAACACCGCCTACGCTTAATAACTATATTACATCGAGCCTGAATTATAAGTCACCTAATGTACTAAAAACAAATTTAAATAATAATAAATGTATAAAATAAATACCTGTGAAGGATCAAGAGTATCTCGAAAACGATTAGCACGTGCAGTACGTTTTACTAACTCTTCTAAAGAAACACCTTGACGTGGTTTTGGCGACGTTGACCCCCCCTTATAGTTAAAAAGTTTATAAGAATTGATAATACTAATAGAACATTAACAAGCCTATGATAAAATAAATAAAAATAAAATAAAATAAAATACAGGAAACCTCTTTTCACAATTCTTTCTAATTGAGGGATCGGTCCAGATTGACTTGTATTAGAGTTACCACCGACGTTGGGCATCTTTCCTTTGGATTTTTTTGCTATTATAATCTGTTAACTCAATGTAAAATGCTTCACCACTCACACAGCGTATGAACGTATACACACACACCTCCACCCCCTCTACCTTGAGTTTTATTTAGCTTCAACATATTTCCACCTCGTTTTGAAGTCATGATCTAAGAAAAATGAATAATAAGTCTTTAAAATAAGAGAGGTGTATGAAACGAAATGTGCCTCATAATGTGCATCATAGAGTGTTACCTTCGTTTATGTCTTTTTTTATTTATCGAAAGAATTCAATCGTTTAAAGTTTTTTCTAACGGTAGTTTTTTAATGCAGAAATAGATGGGCAATTGAAGAAATCACGTGCTTGTGCGCCGCGTATGTACGTAAATTTAGGATCGCGTTCTTTCAGTTATTGTTTTTTGTTATGTAACATGAATTTAGAGGTTTACGTATTTCTATACGTAGTAGTAGATCATACGTATCATCCTCTAAACATTTAACATAAAAGGATTGGCTAAAAAGATGTGTGGCGCAGTTACGTGACCCACGTGACCTGAAGTTACACAAGATTACACAAAGAAGTGCTTTAGGTTACATAAAAAGGTAATACAAGAAAGTAATACAATTTTCCCCAAGTACCTCTACACGAAATCTATCAGATTCTTCTACACGAACTTAAGTGTTTTGAACATAAGTTATCACATCGCAAGTCTAGTGCTGTGTCGCAGGATCCCCCCAGGTTCCCCTCCCCCAAGCTTCCCCTCACAAACAATAAATAAAATATAAACAAAATGAGTAATGTTTATATTCTCCCAACTTCCCTTAACACAATCCCTCAACTCTCTCTAGCACGATCCCCAACTTCTCCTGCCAAGTATTACTTCTTTACTGTGTGTCGTGTACCTTTGCTTTGGGTAGAAAAGATATATAAAGGGTGTCTTTTCCCCTTTCTACCAGATTTTAAGTTCTTACACTTCAATTAGACTCTGATAACCTTTAACTCTTCTTATCTTATAAAGTGTGATATTCCCTTCTAGGATAATTTCTACAGGCAAGGCTTATTACTATTCATGTATTAAATAAAGTTATTCTATATACTGTTACTATCTCAAACTGTTTGCCTGCTGCTGTGTAGTTAAGTAAACAACTACACCTTCACCCCGTATATATTTGCAATAGTCAATCACTGTACCGAGTGACCTTGTTACTTGGTTGTATTTTACTAAGAAGGCTACAGCCTTGTAACATTTTGGTGCCTCCTGGTGGAAATATAAAATTTTGTGAGGAACAAAATTTACCCTCTCTTGGAAGCAAACCTCTCTTTCTCCCTCTCTTTAGAAGGAAACTTTCTTGCAAAAACTATTTCAACTCCTTTGAAGCAGCAAAAGCTATTGAAAAAGTATTCTAGAAATTATTATTTTTTTTTAGTATACTTTCTACTAACTTAACTAGTATTGTATTTTATTAAATTGTATTTTGAAATTGTATTGTCGCGAAGTTTATGCTTTCACCTCCTACTGCTACTAACTTTCTTGCCAGCCATACTTATATTTAGTTTAAAGTCTTTAGAATTTCATTATTTTACTTGAGTTATTTTATTTTATTTTATTCGTGAATTTTCCTTCTTTACTTTGTTTGCTAGCAATCTTTTTGATTTATTTTATTTTATTTCTTTTATTATTTTATTTGACTTTCTCATCATTTTATTATTTTATTACTACTAATCTTCTTTAAAAATATTTTAATTGGCAAATCATGAGTCATTTGAACAAATTTTTTTTTTTTTATATATAAATTTTACTATAAACCCGAATGTGGAGCATGCCTATCTAAAACTTTTTTTTACTAAGTAAATCACTCTTGGGCTTGTAACAAAAGTTGTAAGCTTATCAAGAAGCATCTAATGGTAGTAAGAACATTAAAATCAGCTTGGTAGTTCTTGAGAAATCTTTAAAAAACTTCTTTTTTACATATAAAATTTTTTTAAAAAAAAATCAATTTTTTTTAAAGAAATTTTATATGTGAAAAAGAAGTTTTTTAAAAATTTCTTAAGAACTACCAAGCTGATTTTAATGTTTTTACTACCATTAGATGCTTCTTGATGAGCTTTACAATTTTTGTTACAAGCCCAAGAGTGATTTATTTAGTAAAAAAAAAAGTTTTAGATAGACGCACTTCACATTTGAGCTTATAGTAAAATTTATATATAAAAAAAAAATATTTGTTCAGATGACTCATGATTTGCCAATTAATTTTATGGGAGATTTCCTAACTCGTTATCATTTAAAAAATATTCAAAAACATAATCAATCTCATATTGAAAAGTCTTCACATGCTATTTTTGTTCTCTAAACCCTTGTACCAAATTTAACTTGCACTCAGTATTACCTGTAACAACTAATCTTCATAGATATTTTGCTGACTTCTGGGATTGGTATTCTTAAGCTTATAATGCTACCTCCTATAGTAAAATCACCCACTCTAGTTTTTATCAATTAGCTACTGCTGATAGGACCAAAGCTTATATAGCTGTTCGCAATATTATTTTTAGTTGCAATATCAAGAAACAGTACCTGAACCTCAAGCAGCTGCTCGACTACTTTTGTGAAAATATACTTCTTTTCATAATCTTTGTAAAGCTTCTAGTAATTATAGCAACCATTATGATATTTTTATTGATAATCCTGCTGCTACTCAGTTCTATATTTAAGCATTATACTCAAGTGAAGAACAAAGGATACTAGAGGAAATCTCTATATCTGTTTTACCTCCATCTTCTCCTAATACTATTATTAATATAGGAGAGCCTGTTGTTGCCTCTACTTCAACTTTTACCCCTATTACTTAGCCAGAAAGACAAGAAGAATCTTTCATCTCATCTGATAATTCAAAAAATACTCTAGAAGAAGCAACTTCATCACCTACTCCACCACCTCGACTTATTAATAAAATTTTAAAAACTTTAACATCTATTAGCCCTTGTCGAACCGGATCTTCTTCTATTTCTGGAACCCAACAAGAAGATACTCAATCTATTAATACTGAAGTTTTATAAACAGAGAAAACTGCTGTATCACTAGTATATACTGTAGACGAAGAAATCACTACAACCACCTATTCATTCGAGCAGAACTATTAATCTCTTTATCTACTAATTAAAACTTCTAGCCCACTACCAGAACGCCTTTACCCAGACCTTCTAGATATTTCTAGTTCAACTTCTACTTATTCTCCACTTTATCCTCAACTCACTAAAACAACTACTACATATAATTATCTTTCTCAAGAGGATTTAGACTATTTTGAATAGCCAGAATCAACAAATTTATTTGAACAAAGTCTCCTATTCTTATTCAAACAAACAAACCCCAAGCAAATACTAAATTCAGATAGTTTAGAAGAAAAAAAAATATAGATGATTTGAAACAAGCTGCTCGAGCTATAATCCAATTAGCAGAAGCTATTGAAGGAGAAGATGGAGCAGAAAAATCTCTTATTAAGATTAAACCATTTAGAGGAGATGGTACTGAAGACCCTATCGATTGAATCAATGAATTTGAATGTGCTGCCACTGCCAATAACTGAAGTGCTGCTAGAAAACTTGTCATCGCTAAAGTCTATATGCATGACAATACAAAAGACTAGTTAAAAAGAACAGAAGAAGAAATTCAGCAATATGATACTGGTGATAATAATAATTAATTTAAAGTAAAATTCTTAGAACAATTCATAACTACCAAGAAGCGAGCTATGTGGTAACAGAAATTTTTCAATCTAAAACAAGAAGCAAATACTGTAGATACCTATGCTGCTCAGTTTAAAAAACTGCAAAAGAAAGTAAACCCAGATCCAGCACATCAATTTCCTGATCCTTTTGTTGTTTAACTTTTTATTAAAGGATTACGATCTAAATATGCAATTCCTGTACAAGCATTGACTCCAAGAAACTTAAATGAAGCTA